TGTGTGTGTGTGTGTACGTGTACATGTGTGTGTGTGTATACACGTGCGTGCGTGCGTGTGTGTGTGTGCGTGCGCGGTGTGTGTACATGTGTGTGTACGTGTGTGTGCGTTCATTCCCTGGGGCTCAATGCAAAAATAAACACTATTTCTGTTTTTAACCCTAAATAGAATTTGCTCTGGGTTGTTTGAAAAATTGGACTTCAAAAACTGGGGCTTTAGGAGGACACATTCCAAGACCTACATCAAAAGGAAAAGGAAATAAGAACTTTGTTCTTTTCAAGGAAAACACATTGCTTTTAGTCAAGAGATGGGAAATGAACATATTCATCTCTGTCCTCCATAACACTTTCATACTTGGTTTTCAATTCTCCAATCAGGAGAAACAGCTTCCTTGTCAATGCCCTCAAGGAAATTTATACTTTTCAATGAGATCACTTTTCCTTCTTCTAAATAGCAATGAACATCAGCCCATTCTACTTAATCTCTCCTTGTAGGACAACCTCTCAAGCCTGGAATTCATCCAATAATCCTTTGTTGTACCATATTTGAAGCAACAATACCTTTCTTCGGGTGAGGAAATGAAAACTGCACAGAAAACTCCAGACTTGGACTGATCAAAACTTTACACATTTGCAGTTAAGACTCCCTTAGTCCTGTACTGCAATCACTTTGCAACAAACCCAAGCGTAACATTTACATTCCTAATTGTTTTGCTGCAACTGAAAGTTAACTTTCTATGATTCATGCAAGAACATCCAAATCCCTTAGAATACCAACATCAAAGCAATATCCTGAACTCCTGCTGTTCATCAAGTTGAAGATTAATATAAAGCCAATATGTTGGGCACTTTCACTATGTAATAACCAAAGTGGTCCAGCAAACAATTAAATTAAAAGCTGACCCAGGGCCAACATAATTCAGCTACTCATCTTGATGATCTCTCTCAGGCGAAATGCCAACAGCAACCCAAATAAATCAGTGACACTTAACTCTTTGACATCCGAGCCATTTATTACCCAGTGACAGGTTGAGTCATATCCTGTGATAGGAGCAATAAAGTATTTCTCAACTGCTCCCATGCAAAGTAGAAATATATGAAATATTTATCGGTCGCTAAAAGCCCAAGATGTGACATGCCATATTTGGGTAACTTACTGTCCATAGTAACGTGAATGTTATTACTACTCATTATCTATCCTTTCCTGGATACCTGAGGTGAGGAGATCCACAGACTGCTTGGGTGTAACAATCTTTGTTTCATGCACTTGCTGCAACAAAACCCTCAGTTGCTTTTAACATGCATAATTAGACAACGCAGTGAACACACTGGAGCAGCCAAGCCTCATCTATTGGTTTCTGTGTGTCTGGCAGAACTGTAAAGTCTTTCTGTAGTTCATGCAACGATGTGAAACTGACTTTGAACTCACAATATTTGCTTTAAGATCATATCAAAGTCATGGTGCAGCAACTGTTCTCTGTTTGGCACAAGGTGAATCCCTGCTTCCATCAGAAACATGTGCTGACCAAGAGATTGGCTCTGACTGATTTAAACTCTTCCCTTGGAAGGGTGCTGTCTGTGAGAGAGAGAAGACATTTCTCCCAATGCTCTGAAGGGCAGTCAGAACCAAGCCTGAAAAATGAAAGGCTGTTGGTTTAATCTCACCAAGCCTTTGATAAATCACAATCTTTCGAATAGCTTCTCCATGTAATGTTGACACGCATTTGAATACAGGAATACTTCTGTCTCAGAGACAATTAGAGAAACAGTGACAGAGTTGAAAGCTAAATTCTGAACTTGAACCCCAAGTTGAATATGCGAATCAACGATGATGTGTTTGTGCCAATGAAGCTTTTCATCCCAGACGTGTTCAACATGAGACAAGTACCAGCATTTCTTTTTGAGATGACTGCTGACGGGTCAGATAAATCTCCAAGGACTAAACAGAGCAGCAACACGGCCTGCATTGTGGCAGATAAGCAAATCATTTCTTCGAAAAGAAATCAGCACAATTCCATGTCCCTTTCTATCTAGAAGCTTATGTTGAAATTACTTACTGGATGGAGTTATCCATTCGGGACACAGTCAGGAACGCAGCTAGGTTGGCTGTGTACGAGGAACATACGATCAATGTGAAAAGCCACCAGCTTCCCATTACAATCCGCATAGCAACCGAGTTCATGGGTGAATCCCCACCTACAACCAACAACATTTATTAGAAAGTTCTAGGATCTTAAACAATAACAAATCTTAAATCATTCCCATCAAAAACAATAACAAGGGCTTTAAAGATACTTATTTCTCATTTTATCAAAATGTGTTGACAATTTTTTGAACAGTACTAACCATTTATACTTCTTCAGCTGAGAAAGGGGGCTTGGAAAGAGAAATCACAGATGCAAAGTGGAAATGTCACAGGCCTAGTAACCCCAGGCTAATATTCTGAGAACTTCAGTTCAAATCCCACCAGATGGAATTAAAAGTTGTTCTACTGGCAACCACATTAGCAATATCGAATGTACTAAAAACCCACCTCATTCACTGATTCTCTTTAGGGAAGAAAATCTGTCATCCTTACTCAGTCTGGCTTCCGTGTGACTCCAGACCCACAGGAATGTATTTGACTCTTAACTGCCCTCTGAAATGGACCAGAGAGCCAACCATTTCAAAGGATGCAGGGGGACAGACTACAGGCCTTGCCAGTGATGCCCATGTCCTGTACAAAGAGTTTAAGAAAAGCACTGTACAACATGTTTAACAGGACAGAGATAGTCAGGATGTGGGGGTGGGGGGGGGAGCGGGGATTTATAACTGTACAGAAAGTATGTGGAATGTACAATAGTGGACAAACCCCAACTGCCCAATGGTAAAAATTCACCCTTTGTATACTGTTACTACATTGCAGCAGTGGTACGCCATTAGTATGTACCAGCAGTTGTGCTGTTAGACATGCATTAACTTAAAGGCAATCCATTTAGTGAAACTCAGACTGAGAAGTTACACAGCGAAAATTTGATGCAAATACAGTTTTCTGAATAACTTAAAAGATGGAGGCATTTGTGAAGCTTGTGGTCACCTTTACGATACACAAATAGGATACACGAAGAAAATTGTATCTAATTTACATCTACCAATTAAGATAATTTTGAAACAGACTTTTCTTTACAATGCAAAAGCTGGCCAATCCATTATTTTGTGAAATGCATTTCCATTATGTTAATAAGGATACATAAACCTAATGAATATTGGTATTTTTGCTCTTACTGCCTTGAGGATTGTGAAATGGAAAACTCTCAGCTCCTTACGCACTTTAATCAATGAGGCCTTCAACAGTCAGTAATTTCACAATTTAAGATTCATTCCCCCATGGATTAACACTGAGCCTGTAGTAACCAAACCTTCTTTTTAATTAATTCATAGGATGATGCATCACTGGCTAAGCCAGCACTTATTGCCCATCCCAGAGGGCATTTAAGAGTCAACCACATTGCTGTGGATCTGGAGTCACATGTAGGCCAGACCAGGTCAGGATGGTAGTTTCCTTCACTAAAGGACATTAATGAACCAGACGGGTTTCTCTGACTCATGGTTGTCATTAGACTCCAAATTCCAGATTTCTTATTTATTGAATTCAAAATTTCACCATCTGCCATGGTGGGATTTGAACCGAGGTCCCTAGAATATTCCCTCAGTCTCTGGATTTACAGTCTAGTGATAATACCACTCAGCCATTGCCTCTCCTGGTAACCTGCAAGGAGAAGGGGATCTTCGGAAAACCCGAAGAACATCATGCGGATGTTTTGAGGACTCATGCACCCATGGAGGGAGTTTCTGCTACCTGGCACTAACTCTCCATCACCGTGTCTCAGAGAAGGATTGGGATCAGACTAATCCCATGGATCTATGAAACATTTCGCAGGGAGCATGGTGACTGCCTATTCAGCACTTCCACAGCATAGCTGAAGCTGCCTCAAGCCTTCAGGGTACTGCTCCTTAAACTGTATGTCACCCTCAAACTCAACCAATGAGGATTTCCACAGCCTTCCTTTCACTTCAGAATCATAGTCTGTCTCAAGAGGAAGCCTTTTGTCTGTCCTGACTGTGTTGGTTCTTAGAAAGAGCAGTCGTGCTCTGGCCCACATCCCTGCTTCTCAGTTGTGACTCCCAAGTTTCTATCCAATTCTCTGAGCAGCACATGCGAGCCCCACGTGTCCGATTGGTTTCTGGGGACTAAAGTAATAGACTCCTCCAATGCTGCTGGGTTTACTCAGTGTAACGGGGCACAAGTCAAATACACAGTGTACTGCTTTCAAATCTGGTTTGAGAATGGTTTTCAGAGCTTTTGTTAAAGATTTAGTTCGGTTGTGAGTAGGAGAAGAAGATTTGGAATGTTTCTAAATTCATGCTGTGCACTTTGCTCATCAATTAATTGCGAGTTGAAAATGTAGATGAAGAACTCTTGTAGCCCTGGGGAGATGTTCTGTTCCTTGGGAATTAAAGCTTGTTGCAAATACAATGCTCTGGATGGTTGCATGCTAATGCTAAGGGGAGAGAGAAACAGAGTTAATGTTTCGAGTCTGATATAACTCTTCTTCAAAACTGTACTCGAAAAGTTAACTCTGTCTCTCACTCTCCACAGATGCTGCCAGACCTACTGAGTTTCTCCAGCACTTTTCTGTGTTTGTTTCAGATTCCAGTATCCTCAGTATTTTGCTTTTATGCTAATCCTAAGTGTTCACCATTTGCTAACGATGTCATTGGGAGTTTGGAAAATAGGACAGGAGCAAAATTTCTTGTCGACCTTATGCTAAGAATTTATTCGACTTCAATTTGGCTTGAATACAACAACAGCATCTTCCAATGTTCCTGTGATCTGAGGGATTTTGTTCAGTTTCTCAGTCCATGTGAAAGTCGCCAGTAATGTCTTCCACCACACTGAAGAAAAATAATTTAGTTTGCGATGAACTCCACATCATCAAAGCACTGAAGGTTAATTTATGCAGAGTATCCTCGCAGGGTTTCTGTATATGGCAATATCTACACGGAAGGAGCAGGAGTGTACCATTCAGCCCCTCAGACTAGCTCCACCATCCCATGATGGTGCCTCATCATCCATCTGAACTTGACCATCCCGGTCAGGTCTTTTGATTTCCTGAAAAATCGATCAATCGCTGTCTTAAGTGTACTCAACCACTGAGTGTTCCCAGCTCTCTGGGTGAGAGGTTTCCAAAGATTCACAGTCAAATATTCCTCATTTCAGTCCCAAACATGTGACCCTTCATCTTGCAACAGGACGCTGAAATTCCTGCTTCATTCTAGTTTGGCTGGGCCGCTCCCGACCTGGATCCCAGGAGTACGAACCATTTGGGAATGTCATGCATTCCAGTCAGTTGGTTTCTCATCTCATCAACAGGACTCGGGCAATGAGTGAAGGTGGAAGGTTGTGGATTCAGAGACAGCAATAAACTGAGCACAGAAGGAAAAAGGCCAGGAAATTTCAAACAATGCATTCCCAACATCCCAAACTGCTGGTAATTCCTGCTTCTACCCACATGCTATCCCTGCATTTATTGCACAATGAGCTCAGCTTTCTGACATTGCTACTTTGGTCGCCCTTCAGCCAGCAACAGATTAATGAAGGATTTACAGAGCCCTGGGGGATAAAACCTGGGATGTGGCAGACAGTAAGTTCCTCTTGCAGGGACCCAGCATAGACAGGACAGGCTGAATGACTCTTCCTGTGCTGTAAAGATTTGATGACTGTCTGATTGCAATGAGGGCCAACTACGAAAATGGCCTGGGTAACCAGCTCCCCAACACCACCCCCTCCTCCCCCCACCCCTCCCCCCAGCCTTCTCCCCGTAACTCCTCTCCCTCAGTGAGCTCCTTTTGCCTGTGAATCTATCACCACCCCACTGGGACATCCCACACACACCACTATTCACATTCTCCATCTCACACACATCCCTAATGTCCATGCCCATGCCCATTACACTCTGTCTCATGCCACATTACAATCAGTCACACTGTTAAATTCATGAGAAAGTTGTGATGTACCTTGTTGAACGAATGCACCATATACCAGCCAGATGGCACTGTGAAGAGTGTTGGAGGTGGAAGGGGGGCTCTGAGGATGTGTTGGTGTCTGAGTTCGGACCAACTGCACCCGATTGAGCACAAAGATCAGGACCCCGACCAGAGGGATCGCAGCAGCAATGCAGGCCCAGACCGCCAGGTCAAAGGGAGCAAAGATTGAGAAAATGTTAATCTTTTCCTCCGGCTTTTTCAAGAGGATTCCAACGGAATAATCCATGTAGCGTTTGCTGAAATCCACAACGCTCTCTCTCTCTGGAGTGATGGTTATTGCTGAGATTGCAATGTCTGCTTTCTGTAAACAAGAAAACAGAGGTGAGTTATCAGTATGCTATTCAGACCTGGCCTCCTATGTTCAGCAACTCTTTGATCCCAATGGCTATTGCTCCTTTCCAAATATCTATCCTAGTGAGTCTACTTTCAATCTCTTTCTGAGAAAGTGCTTTCTATATTCTCACAACCCTCTCTGGCTGGAGCAGCTTCTAAATTGAGGCAGCTTTCATTTTCATTCTAAGATGATGTTTTCTTCTTCTGAATTCGCTACAAGAGCAATGAGTCATTCTGTTGCAACCTCATCCATTCCTTTGATCACCTGAAATATCTTCATCTGCTCCAAATTAACTTCTCGCTTGGAGAATATATAACACAATCCTGAGGCTCATCTCTATGGACACAAGCCCCAGTGTGGGCCATGGCCCTGTTCGGTGTGGAATGAACGGCCACAGGAAGTGGTAGATGCAGATACAATTACAACATTTAAAAGACTTTTGTGAAGATACATGTATAGGAAAGGTTTAGAGGGATATGGGCCAATTGCAGGCAAATGCAGTTTAGTTTGGGAAACTCGGTTGGCAAGGACGACTTGGACCAAAGGGTCTGGTTCTGAGCTGTATGATTGTCTGACTTTGTGTGTGCTAGCTGCATTGAGGTAGAGCCACAATGGATGAGCTGCCCTGACAGTGTGAAGCCTGGAGAAGAATGACAACTGTGCGTCAGTTCGGGTGAAAGATTACCAGCGTGAAACCTTGGATGGGATCTTCCTATGCCAAAACTGGAAATTGTTGAGAGGTTTATTGCCTGCACTTCATCCAAGAAGGTTTCTGATAATGATGTTAGTGTCAGAGACATGGGTCTGTAGTGCAATACTTAAGCTGGTAATGCCCCACTGTTCTTTTTTGGAGTAGGTCAGTGAGTCTAACTGCGGAGACCACAATGACGCAGCCCACCTAGAGGCAAATGTCAACCAGAGAAAAGGAGCTGGGTCAGACACGGAGTGTTTCCTCTGTACAGCCTGAGGCAGGAGCTGTCCCTTCCTGGTTTGGATGGAAGTTAGGCCATCACTCAGCCATCACTTGTTAACAAGTTACCAATTGATATCAGCAGGTGACCCACAAGCCTCCCATCTCAATACCTGAACATCTCACAAGCGCCATAAAAGGTCAACTTTTTTTTGAAGGAAGTGTCAGCTAATCATTGATCTTGGTGAAGATAAATTTCACAGGAAAAGAAAGTGTTTCCACTAACTCAGAATATCTGGGAAAGAATCTGTAATGTGGGTGGAAAAACATATCAGATAAATGGTACTGAAGGCTGAATCTAGTGGATCAGATCATGTCCCACATCCTTCTTTCATATCTCGACAAACAGTGGGATTTACTCATCTTTGTTAGTCACTGAATCAATTGTAGCCACAGGTTGATGCTGATGTTATACCAAATGATTGATGTAAACTTGTTGATTTGATTGAAAACATTCATATTCTTCTGCTTTGAGCAAACCTTTCAGAAAGGAGCTCTCTGATCATTCATTTTATTTGTTCACAGGTTATACTTGTTGCTGGTTCCACCAGCATTTATTGGCCAACACTGTTTGCCCTGGAGAAGGGCTAGTGAGCTACCTTCTGGAGCTGCAGGGCCAGCCACAATGTCATTAGAGATGGAGCTCCAGGATTTTAACCCAGTGACACTAAAGGAATGGCAATATATTTCTAAGTCAGGATAGTGAGTGGCTTGGAGGGGAACTTGTAGGGAGTGATGTTCTCATGTAGACTATAAGACCATAACATATAGCAGCAGAGTTATGCCATTCAGCCCATCAAGACTGCTCCATCATTGAATCACAGCTAATATGTTTCTCAGCCCTGTTCTCCTGCCTTCTCCCTCTAACCTTTGATCCCCTTAATAATCAAGAACCTATCTATCTCTGTCTTAATACATCCAATGACTTGACCTCTACAACCTTCTGTGGCAATGAGTTCCACAGACTCACCCCCCTCTGGCTGAAGAAATTCCTCCTCATCTCAGTTCTAGAGGGTTGGCCCTTCTCTCTGAGGTTGTGCCCTCAGGTCCTAGTCTCTCCTATTAATGGAAACATCTTCTCCATGGCCACAGTCTGTCCAGGCCTCTCAGTATTCTGTAAGTTTCAATGACATCTCCCCCTCCTCTTTCTTCTAAACCCCATCGAGTACAGACCCAGGGTCCTCTACCACTCCTCATATGACAAGGTTCTTCATCCCCGGGATCATTCTTATTAACCTCCTTTGGACCCCCTCCAACACTAACACATCCTTCCTTAGATTCGGGCCCAAACGACACATAATCTTCCAAATGCAGTCTGACCAGAGTTTTATACAGCCTCACCAGTGTATCTCTGCTTTTGTATTCTAGCCCTCTCAAAACGAACACTAATATTGCATTCGCCTTCCTAACTGCCAAATGAACCTGCACACTAACCTCAAGAGAATCCTGAACTAGGACTCCTCAGTCTCTGTTATTTAGATTTCCAAAGCAATTCCCCATTTGGAAAATACTGTACACCTCTATTCTTTCAAACAAAATGCATAACCTCACGCATTGTATTCCACTTGCCATTTCTTTGCTTACTCTCTTAATGTGTCCAAGTTTTTCAGCAGGCTCCCACTTCCTGTCCCTCAACCTATCTTTGAATCATGTATCTGCAGCCCTTGCCCTTTGAGATGGAAGATGTCATAGGTTAGAAGGTGCTGTCTAAGAAGCCTTGGTGAATTTCTGCAGTGCATCTTGTGGACAGTACACACTGCTGCGACTGAGCGTCGTTGGTGGGGGGAGTGGATGTTTGTGGATATGATGCTAATCAATCAATTGTTTTATCCCGGATAGTGACAAGTTTCTTGAGTGTTGTTGGGGCTGCACTTATCCAGGCAAGTGGGGAGTATTCCATCACACTCCTGACTTGTGCCTTGTAGATGGGGGACAGGCTTTGTGGAGTCTGGATGTGAGTTTCTTACTGCAGGATTCCTAGCTTTTGTAGCCACTATATTTATAACTGTTTATACATTTATATATCATATATTTATACACAGCGACAGGGTAGATGCAGTAAGGATGTTCCTCATGGTGGGGGAGTCCAGAACCATGGGTCATAGTGCAGGAACAAAAGGTAAACCTTTTATGCTTTCTTCATGCACAGGAAACACCTGGGCAATTTTCCACATTGTTGGGCAGATACCAGTGTTATAGCTGTTGTGGAACAGCTTGGCTAGGGACATAACCGGTTCTGAAACACAAATCTTCAGTCTGATTGCTGGGATGTTGTCAGAATCCATAGCCTGACAGTACTCTGGACAATGAAAGGTCAAACTCTTCAGTATTTGTTGTTCACTGGGTTTCTTTCTGGAGTTTTCTCAGCTTCAGTTGTATAACACTCTGCATCTGCTTCATGTATGTGCCCTGAGCCTTGCTCCTTATCACAATCTCACCGAAATGTCAGCTTTCCTGCTCCTCTGATGCTGCCTGGCCTGCTGTGTTCCTCCAGCTCCATACTGTGTTATCTCTGACTCCAGCATCCACAGTTTTTACTACCTCCTCCGTCAGAGTTAGCTCTCGGACAGTGTGGCATCCCCTTGGTACTGCACTAGAGTGTTCTCCTAGATTAGTAGCTGAGCTTACTGAGCGATAAATGAACACTTGCCTTGTTGATGAGTTCCCCAATCATTCCATTCCATGATCCATTGGGCAACTGACTGCCATATTTATGGTCCACAGCTTGATAGATCTCATATTTAAATCCGAGCTGCTTTGCCAGTGCATCGAGGACATCGATGGAAAACCCCTTGTAGCGTTTTGGTTGTCCCAAGATGTTCTCAGCCACCATTACAAAGGGCTCCTCCTGTGGAGACACACAATATTGAGATGGAGGTAACTGTGGGTTTCAATCGTGTGAAAGAAGGTGAGATTTATTCCACCAGCAAACTTGCACAACAGATTGGCCAGCAGCAAGTGGCCAGCGAGAAATTCTAATGTTCTGTGCAAATTTCATGATGTTATTAATGTTCATTGGCAATCATAGTTATTGACATCTTATTGCATTTTTGCTGCTTTTTGAAGAAAAATATATTCAAGTAATGAATGATGTTAACAATGTGGGACGTTAACCCAACATTGAGAGTAACCAGGAGCATTAACAGACTGTCACTCTGCACCATTCACTTCAAACAGTTTCTGAATCCTTGTAAACAGTTGAAGGAAAGCAGGAAAAACACAAAATTCAAACATATCCTTCTGTCCCTCAAATTTCTGGCAATGAAATGAGATGTTAGGGATCCATGTTGATGAATTGCATTTCCATGGTCCCCAGGGAAAACACATGGAAATAAAACAAGGGAAGAGCAGACAGGGCAATAAAATTACTCCAAATTTCAAAAGTTGCAAAGGAGATAATCAGAGGGAGGGTGGTTCCAGGGGCAGGCTAACTATTGGGAAAGGAATGTCATGGCAGTGGAGGGATGGACATGGGGTCAGGTGGCATAATGATCATGGACAATCTGGAGAGTTATTTCAAAGAAATAGTTCAGGCAGGATTGATTAAATGAGCTTGTAGTGTCCTGCATGATTCTGTGAGGAGAATTTGGAATCATTGCACAGCAGCGAGGGGAGTGGAGGACAGGAGTCAGGGGGGTGACAGAGAGGAATGAGGGATTTGTCATTTATATAAATGATCTGGATGAAAATATAGGAAGCATGGTTTGTAAGTTTGTAGATGACACCAAAATTGATGGTATAGTGTGGAGAAGGTTATCCCAGAGTACAACTGGATCTTGATCAACTGAGCCAGTTGACTGACGATTGGCAAATAGGGTTTACTTCAGATAAATGCAATGTGTTACATTTCGGTAAGACAAACCAGGTTAGGACATTCTACAGTTAATGGTAAGGCCTCGGGTAGTGTTGTTGAACAGAGAGACCTAGGGATTCAGGTACATAATTTTTTGGAAGTTGAGTCACAGGTAGACAGGGAGGTTAAGAAGGTAGTTTAGCATGCTTGTTTTCATTGCTCAGACCTTGGAGTTTAGGAGTTGGGATGTTACGTTGCAGCTGTAGAGGACATTGGTGAGACCACTTTTGGAGCACTACGTGCAGTTCTGGTTGCCCTGCTTTGGAAAGAGTGCAGGAAAAATTTACCAGGATGTTACTGGGACTGAAGGCTTTGAGCTATAAGGAGAGGCCGTATGGGCTGGGACTTTTTCCCGGGAGAGTAGGAGGTTGAGGAGTGACTGAGAGGGGTTTATGACATCATGTGGGGCATAGATAATGTGAATAGCAAAGGTCTTTTCCCTAGGATAGGGGACTTCAAAACTAGAGAGTGATAGGAGAAAGATTTAAAAGGGACCCAAGGGGCAACTTTTTCACACAGAGGGTGGTGCATGTGTGGAATGAACTGCCAGAGGAAGTGGTGGATGCAGGTATAATTACAACATTTAACAGACATTTGGATCAGTACACGAATAGGAAAGGTTTAAAGGGATATCAGCCAGAAGCAAACAAATGGAACTAGCTTAGTTTGGCATGGATAAGTTGGACTGAAGGCTGTATTTCAGTGTTGTATGACTCTATGACTCTATGAGTGAGGGGGGGGGGCATGCTGACAGAGAGGAGTGAGGACAATGCGGGACTGTGTAAGTGGGTGGACAGTGGTTGGATTGGGTGAAGTTTCTAGTTACCAGAATAGTGGCCACTTTCAAAGTGACTCCTTGCATGTCACTTTCCAAACGCCTCTCCTGTAGACTCCCATTGAGGCCCTTCACTGGATCCCAGACAGCCAACTGCAGGGGCAAGAAAAGAGACAAGTTCATGAATAAGACCATGTTCATCTTCATCAGAGTAATGATGAAAATTCAAATTCTTTGATGAGCAGATGTTCTTGCCAGGGGTGGGGTTTACTTTTGCTGTTGACTCAGATCCTCAATAAAGTTTGGGGATCTCAGCTGTCTGTCGGATTCAAATTCACCTGCTGCGTTCATTCTGAAACTCAGCTGAAGGAAGATAATCACATTTAGTGAAACTTTCTTTAACCTGAGTAACAGGAGACTTTTATTGGATTACTCTGCAGCATCACTGGGTTCATTTGGTAGGAGGAATGGCAAAATACTACAGGAAAAGGTTTATATTTCTGACATGACCTCTTGACCTCATGTAATTCGAAAAGGTTTTACACCTGAAGAATTACTTTCTGCTATGTTGTCATTGTTGTAATCAAAGGAAAATGTGGCAATATATTTGTGCGCAGCGAGCTCCCATAGACAGCAATGAAATAAATAGTCCAATCTTCCGCTTTAAGACAACTGCAAACTATTGTGAATGCTACAAATCGAAAAAGCTGAACCCATTCAGTTCGCCCTGGTGCCTGTATGTCTGTGTTCAGGTAATGTGGGAATCACTGGCTCAGCCAGAATCTGTTGCCCATCACTAATTGCCCTTGGGTGTGATGAAAGGTCATCAAACTGAAACGTTACCTCTGTTCCTCGCTCCACAGATTCTGCAAGACTCACTGAGTTCCACCAATGTTTTCTGGTTCCCATTTGTTTTAAGCACAGCACACTTTCAGCACTGACCCTCTGTCAGTGCGGCACTCCCTCAGCGCTGACTCTCCAACAATGCCTGCTCCCTCATCACCGACCCTCCGACAGTGCCCGCTCCCTCAACACTGATCCTCCGACAGTGCCCGCTCCCTCAGTACTGACCCTCCGACAGTGCCCGCTCCCTCAGCACTGACCCTCCGACAGTGCAGCACTGATCCTCCGACAGCGCGGTGCTCCCTCAGCAATGACCCTCTGACAGCGCAGCACTCCCTCAGCACTGACCCTCCGACAGCGCGGCGCTCTCTCAGCACTGACCGTCCGACAGTGCGGCGCTCCCTCAGCACTGACCCTCCGACAGCGCGGCGCTCCCTCAGCACTGACCCTCCGACAGTGCGGCGCTGCCCCAGCACTGACCCTCAGACAGCGTGCTTTGTTACGTTTCCAGTTAGCCAATTGGCCATCAAACGGGTGTATCCGCTCTCTGACTGATGTGGAGTGTAGCTAATTTGACGTATTGACGTCAGTTCTGTGCTGGCACCATCACATGTGCAGCTCAGTGTCACCTATAGCAGCTGCAGCAATGAGAGGACACATCGCTCCACTACCAGATTGCAGGCTGTGGCTAAATGTCTCCAAATGGGGTTTGAACCCAGGAGCTCTGACACCTGAGGAAGGGTGTGTACACCTTTTGGCGTGGAGGGCAATCAGAGGCTGGTGTTGGATTGGATAGCCGTGATGATTTAACAGTATTCTAGCTGGTTGCTGTATGGATTGGAATGCCCATTGCAGCTTGAGGTGTTTGTTTGTTATGAATATGTTCTTGGATTGTCTGACAGTAACTGGCATCGGTCATTGATCTAGAAGCCTGAGAAACATGCAGTCTAACGGAACTGACTCCTAACACAGTCAAGTGGCAACGGCTCAATAAGTTTGATTGATAACAGCGGATGCTCACAGTAGAGAATCACTGATGGAGTTATTTACATCAAGTGCCCATGTCTCATCAAAGCATTGACTTGTTGCTAACCAGAGACAGCATCTGCTGTCTCCCTCAATTGCCATTTCCCAGCAACAAGCCCCAGGAATGAAATGCCGGCCAGCTGTTTGACTCCTCATTGGAGAGCTGGAAGCCTGTGCACTGACCACTCATCAATTATACTCACCATGTCCTGGACATTCCCTTAGCAGGACTACACCATCCTCTGAGGAAGGGCTCTGTAATTTGACTGTGAAATTTGATAAAAGGCAGAATATTCTCTTGTTACTCTCCAAGCGACACTGTCAGTTGATTGTTTTTAGTTGGTCAGTTAGTTAATTGGCAGCCATCCCTCAGGATGACTGTGAATTGATCACTTTCCAAGTATGACACTGAGGAAGTGCTGCAGTGTCAGGGAAGCCAGCTTTCAATCTGACTTAAAACTGAAAACTGCTCGGTTTAACTTTGAGCAGAGAGACCTTCCTTTTTCTGGTCACACTGCCTTCTTCAACCAACACTAAAAACTAATTAACAGCTCATTCATCTCATGCCAAGTTCTGAAGCTTGCTGTACATAAATTTCCTTGTTTCTGTCACTGTGATAACCGTCACTGCAGGTCTCTGTCTTGTTTTCAATCACTAACCCATGTCCAGATTGATCCCTTCTCTGCTCAGTGAGGTATCACACAGTCTGGTATTTAGGGATGCCATTTTGGTAAAGCAGGATGTAAAAGGTTACCTGAGCAGAACTGGTAAGTGGATTGTGAGCTACAGCCTGATGTAGTCAGGAGCCTAAGCTCAATCTGATCTTCTCGGGCTGGTAGAGCAGTATAACTGCCATCTCACAAACGTGCTTGACACACATAGCCTCATAAGCAACAGGTACATCCCTCAGAAGTTTCTGGGAGTGTCCCATCATGATACAGTTTGTCACACCATGTCTTCAGCCTCGTCAGCACCACTCTTTACAAATTCCTGTCTCTAACTCCTCCATCTTTACATCTTCCCATCCTCGTTTAAAATTCTCCAAAAATACCTCACTGCTTTAGCCAAGTTTCTCGACACAATTTCCAACACCATTCATTGGGAGGAATGCCTTAATGGACCAAGGAGCCAGAAGCCTGACACATGTCCTGGGGACATAGGTACAAATCCCATCATGGTCAATTGTGAACCTTGGTGTTTAACAAATTCTGGAATTAAAAGCTAGTTAATGACGACCATGTAATTTTTGTTATAAAAACTCATCTGGTTCATTAATGTCTTTTAGGGAAGGAAATCTGTCATCCTTACCTGATCTGACCTACAGCAATGTGATTGACTCTCAACTGCCTTCTGAATTGGCTGAGCAATGCTTTCAGTTTAAGGGCAATTAGGGTTGGGCAATAAATGTTGGCCTAGACAGCAATACCCACACTCCATTCATGAATATTTTAAATTGTCACTTTTGGGTCAGTCTCAATAAATTGCTGATTCTGGTTCAGTGACACCCTGATCTTTATTACCTGAGGCTAACATATTACCAGGTATTCCTGGACTAAACTGCCTCAAGGTGTGAAATCTGCTCAATAAATGCTTGTTAGAGTTGTTTTTGATCTGAAGGATGTTGTTGCAGCTTAGGGTTCAATAGGATGATCAAACTGTGAACAGGCTGGAGCACAGTGGCCTGGTAGGGTAATAGATTCCTTGGTGAGGTTAAGGTGTTTGTGGCAGGGGCAGAAATATTGGGGCAATTTTCCTGGTTTGAGGTGAAAGGACACTTTCTGTATGTGAGCTGCTTTTGTTGCTGTCCATCAATTACACACTGACATCACAGCAACAAAGTTAATGCAGCCTTTATCCCACAGCTTGAAAGCGGTGAAAGAAATTGCAGGTTTACTTTCTGCATGTAATCCAGGAGAGTGGGTCTCCTTGGGCTCATTGAAAGCTTTATTCACAGAAACATTCCTTCGACTGGTTGACTTGCACTGATTGGAAAATTATTTACTGAGTTTTCTTTCATTCTGCTGACAGAGGCAATGTTCTAGTTAATAATTTTAGGGTAACTGCAGAGTTATTTAGTTCCAGACATCGTTTTCTGTAGATCATCACAGACTTCATCACAAACGAAAATGATTATAAACTGAAGGGTGGGATGTTGTTTAATGGGTCGATATCACCTCATTCAGCAGGTCAGGCCTATGGGTCACAATGTTCACTATGACACCATATTCACCCCATTACATTGTTGCCACGTTTGGAAATTGCTACAAACTAGAATTTGTTCAATCAAAGATAGTCCTTCTTGAATCCACATGTTCTCCTTCTGCAATAGCTCTGTAGCCATGGGGTGAAGCTACTTCTGACAGACCAATAACCACCAACACCTCCTGACCCAGCTACATATCCTCCTGAATCCTAACTTGCTGCCTGTCACACACCAAGCCCTGGGTAACTGAGAACAGTTTCTGACCACTGGGGAGATGGGATGGGATGGGGGCGGATGGTGTCAGAAGACCAGTGATCCAGAACTAGGAACTCAGTGCTGAAGTACAGTCATATTGGACTTGAAACATTAACTCTTGTCTCTCTCTTAACAGCTGCTTGTAGACCTGCTAAGTTTCTCCAGCACTTTGTGTTTGTTTCAGACTTCCAACACCTGTGCTATTTTGTATTGATTGCAATGTAATTAACTCTCCTGTGCCCTCAGATATGCTGTAGAGAGCCAATTAATTACAGACTAACTAGGAATGAGCATCAAATACCAGCCTATTCAGTGACATTTCATGAACGACAGCATAAACTGGGAATTGGCCAAAGGAAAGTCTCATTTCCTCAATGGACATTAATAGAAAATTGTACAGAATCAGAACACGGAGGGTTAAGCAGGTTTTCAGGGGATTTTAGAAACCTCGAGCTTTCTGACAGAAATATCTGTTACCTTGAAACATTTTGGCTAACATGTAATTGAGAGTATTAGAAAGAGTCAAACAATTTACTAACCAGGACAGCTCAAACTGCGCAGCAATTACAACTCACCTTAAACAGCACCCCTAATGCTGCCAAACCTCTCGAGTGAATTTACAAAGGAGCAGGAGAATAATTTGAACCCAGCAGGAACTTGAGGAAGATAAGCCAGAAAGAAAAGATGAGGTTTAAAAAAGCAGGATCTCAAGAATGATTGGGCTGGAAGGGGAGGCAGGAGGGAGACGGTTAGGAGTGAGTTCCAGTCTGCTGACTCTGATCGATATCATCAGTAAGGTATTGCTCTCCTTTGAGTATAAGGTTAG